TATCTCTACCCACATGTATACCCACACATGTGAACACGCATAAAAATTTTTTTTTTAAAAACCACACACATAATAAGGAAGGGACAGCACTAAAAGGCAAGAGTTAAAGGTAAATGGACAGGGACAGCTAGAGACTAAGCACCATGGGGGACTGTATCTGCTTTGTGTCCTTCTCTCCCAGCCTTTCAGGGGCCCCAGCTGAGTGCTCAGTGACTATCTGACAGAACAGTACACAAATAAAATGGCTTCCTCTAACAGCTTGGAGATTTTGCTTATAACAAAGGATAAAAGAAATGTCCTTCCCCTCAGAATCTCTACTAAGGACAACATTAATTCCACTTACTGGAAGCCCTCCTAAGGATGACAGAAGGAAGAATGTAAACCTCACAGAATAACCATTCTAAGCAATAAATGATCAAATGCTACTGCAATAGCAAGTAAACAAATCTGTCACTTCACCCATTCTCTATGCTGACGAATTAGCTGGGAGTGAGCCTTTTAATAGATAACAGAACAGTATAAGTCATCCCTCGAGTTTTCCCAAACACCTTCTTTCCCAAACACATATCCATTTGCTTCAAATGCCACCTCTTCCTAAGCTGATTTTCTCCTCCAACCACATCAACCACAATTACAATCACATGTCAGATCCATGTGGTCCAAATGATGGACAGGCCCCTTAACCAAATGTATCACCATAGCAACAAAGGGGCTGTGTTTGCTGCTCTCTACCTGCCAATCAATTATTTAGCATCCCTATACTACAGTGACACAGTGTAAATGGACATGTTCAGCAGCAGCAAGAGGCAGACTAGATTCACCAGTACCAAACAGCCAACTGACCACAAAGCAAGCATACGCTCCTGGAGGGTAACATACAGAGCACAGCATAAAGGGATAGAGGGGAAAGTCTCTACTTTTAAGCTTCTGTTTGTGAGCTCCCAGCTCTTGTTTAAGGAGGGAGGGAGAAAAGGAGGGAGGAAAGGAGGGAGGAAAGGAGGGAGGGAGGAAAGGAGGGAGGGAGAGAGGGAGAGAGGGAGAGAGGGAGAGAGGGAGAGAGGGAGAGAGGGAGAGAGGGAGAGAGGGAGAGAGGAAGGGGTCCAGGGACTTGAGGAAGGAAATCACGTTAACTATATATACATCCTTTATCAAAGGTTACTGGTAATATGACACAGAGGGCCAAAGGTTGAAATTCATTTTAAATTAATCTGCTATACCCTGTTTTTGGTTTTGGTTTTGGTTCTGGCCTATTTTATGGATTGTTTCTTGTCAGGAAAATAGACTCAATAATTGAGGGAATGTCCAGTAATCAGCAGCCGGCTGTGACTATCCTCTCTTTCAACCTGGTCACACCTCCACTGACTAACCCTGGGAGATTTCTAAAGAGATCCTCAGAGAGGTTCCTGCCTATACCTTGATAAAGGAAAAGTGTTTCTATCATAAGAACCAGAAAGAGATTACCATTAAGTCCAGAGTGTCCAGTCACAATGGAGCATACCTCAAAATGTAAAGCCCGATAGAACAGAACAGGTTTGGGTGGTCCTTGTACCTTGTACCCTCAGAGATCCAAAACCATAACAACATTGAAAGATGGAGTCAGTATTGGGAACAGAATGAACACCTTTCCATTCATGTTATTGGTGTTGTTTGTTTGTTTGTTCATTGTTTGGCTTTTTATACAACCCCATAGAAAAGAGAACAAATAAATGGTGGTAGTCCTCCAAAAGATTCTAATCTGTTTACACTAGATAATAATCAAATACAGGTTTCATACCAAAAAAAAAGTTTTACTGGTTGAAAATAACTGACAGAGCCCAGAAAAGAGGTCTCTAACTCACTGACAAATTAAAAGCCATATTAAGGTCTACAGAACCAATTCATACACAGCTTCCTCTATCCTGTCCAAGATACAGTTCTCTGCACTCTGTATGCCAATATCTAGCTTAGCATGAGTTGGAAGTACCAGGCTTTGATTAGACTATAGAGATGACTAAATAATTTATTAAAACTGTAGTTTCCAGACCAGTAGTCTATCACAGATATTAATTTTATTATGGTAAATATAGGCAATAATATTAAAACATCATGATATAGAATTATTTATTGTTCATATAACAATATATGTGAAAGAATATTAAATATTTATCAAAAGTAACAGTTTCCCCCTTAAAACCCATCTTCCTCAAGAAAAGCAACATAGTACTTAAACTGAGATCTAGGGTGGCCTTTCTACTGCAAATCGCTCCTCTAAGGGAATAAATGATCACGTAAAGCAGCAAACATTTACAAACACTTCACACAGCACTATAATTTTATGTATATACCCACATAAAATAAAAGTATGTACCTTGGGGATCATTTACACAACCTAATGCCTTTCTGATTAGCATATAAAAAAGCTTAAGACAGATAACCTTTCACATCTGACAGCATACACAGCACACACAGGCTGAGTTATGACCAGTGTTCTGTTGCTATAATTGACTGAATGCCTTTAGACAATTGGTCAGATACTCACCACTTATTTTCTGTCAGCTGGCATGCATGCAAATGCATATGACGAGACCCATGGAGAATAATAAGTTTTAGGAAAGTCCCTCCACTAAAGAGTTTGGTTTTCTTAATTCTCTAACAAAATCTTGGTTGGTGCATAAAAGAGACAATATAAAAATGATATATAAAAGCTGCCAGGGCTTAAAAATGTGTCCCTTAAAGACCCATGTGTTAAAGGCTTGGTCCCCAGCAGAGACAGTAAATATTTTAAGACATATTTAATATGTCGTGAGTGTTTGGATCATAGATTTGTATTTGACAGATCACTTCCTTTGTCTCTTGTCTTGAATCTCTAATGGGAAACAAGACTCAGATACCAACACAATCTTAGGAAACGCCCATAGGTCACTGGGATGCCCATAGGTCACTGGGAGCCCATAGGTCATTGGGAGCATGCCCTTGATGGAGAGAGGGAGCTCTGGCCTTCCCCTTCCCCTCTAGCTTGGATTCCTGGCTCCTGAAGCAAGCAGACAGCATCAGTGATGACCAGCTCCCCACTTTTGCCACTCTGCACTTCTGCCAGATACCCAGAGCAGTGAATCCACCCACCTTAGATTAGAAGCCCTGAAACCAGAAATCACAACAAACCTTTAATAAATGTTTTTCTCTGCCTATGTTGCATTTATCATTTATTTCATTAGGAGACAGAAAGCTGACTAGCCAGAAGCAATGTAAACTGTCTCTCCCAGACAGCCAGCACGTCATGGGCACTGATTCCAGCATTCATGTTACTGTTTTGTAAATAAAAGACACTCTCACTTGCTGGCGAAATAAAAATTAGACTACACCACTAAATAGTACCATTGCACTTCCAAATATAGATTTCATACATATGTAAATCATTCTTTTCAAATATCAATTGCTGAACAGACATATTTAATTGCTTTTAACAACAAAAAATATAAACGTCAAAGTTGTCCAGTGAGTCCATGTGACTTATGGAATAGCCACCTGTACAATAACAACTATTAAAACTGGTCCAAGCCAGAGGGATGGATCAGTGGGTACAAATGCTCACTGTGTAAGCCTGAGGACCACAGTATGATCCTCATAACCCACAGTGGAAGGAGAGAGCCGACTACGGGAAGTTGTCATATATCCTCCACACACTTTCCCACACTCGCCCACACACATTATACACAACAATGTTTTTATAAATGGTACAGGACTATCAAAGAACAACTGAGGAACAGAATAGAGTGACCCCAAAATAGACCTCCTCATACAAAATCATGACTGTCACAAAGACACTAGCATAATCCAACAGGTGAAGAAAAACAAAAGTCAACAAATGTTGATAGAATAACTAGGAACATGATCCTTGACCACAACCCTACCTCTGTCACAAAAGCTAACTTGATAGCTAATATGAATGAAAATATAAATGATAAAGCCATAAAGGTGTTGGTGGAAAACAGGAAAAACCATGATGTGGGTGAAGGCTTCTCAGGCAGCTAGCTGATGACTGATACGTCTAACAGCAACATTTAAATGCTCACCAGAGACATACTTAAGAAAATGAGAATCGGCCAGGCGGTGGTGGCGCACGCCTTTAATCCCAGCACTTGGGAGGCAGAGGCAGGCGGATTTCTGAGTTCAAGGCCAGCCTGGTCTACAGAGTGAGTTCCAGGACAACCAGAACTATACAGAGAAACCCTGTCTTGAAAAACCAAAAAAAAAAAAAAAAAGAAAGAAAGAAAATGAGAATCAAGTTCCAGAATGTGAGTCAAGAGCTTCAAAACACATGTGGGCAGAGGCTTTCTGAATACAAGTCCTACTGCCCAGGAAGTGAGGCCGACAACAGGCAAAGAATATCTCTTGAAATTAAAATACCTCTGTGCTAATAGAAATAGCCAATCGGGTGCAGAGACAGTTTACAAACCAGGAGGAAACCTTTGCAGCTGACAGAAGATTGAGATCTAGAATATACAAAGAGCTCAAAAACAAAACAACAACAAAAACACTACACACAAAGTCAAATAGCACAGTCAATAAATGAGCTATAGACAGTCTTCAAAAGATTAACTGTAAATGGGCAATGAACATGAAAAAATGTTCATCATCACTAACCATCAGAGAAACAGAAAATGAAACTGCATTGAGTCTGTCTCTCACACCAGTCAGAATGACAGCCATTAAGAAAACAAATGACAAATGTTGGCAAGAATGCAGACCGAAGAGAACCTTTATATGTTGCTGATGAGATAGTACCTTAGTTTGCCCACTATGGAAATCAGTGTGGAGTTTCTCAAAAACACTAAAAATCGATAGAGCTACCACATGACCCAGCTACAGTAGCGCTAGTAACTTGCCCAAAGGACTCCGAGTCAATTGCAGGGATATCAGACATCAGTGTTTATTGCAGCACTATTCACAGTATGGAATGGAGCCAACACATGTGCCCCACAACACAGGGATGACAGAGAAGAGTGACATCCCGGTCTTACCTGTTTCACGACTGTGTGGTGATGCCTCTGTTTGAAGCCCTCACGATAGGGTTCAGTGAACTGAATATGCAATGAGAGCTGCCAAATAAGGTTCACCCTCCACTGTTCTGAAATTAAAAGTAGATGCAGTTTTAATATTTTTGAAGAAAAATAAATCAAAGCTATCGGCTCATCAGACTGAAATTCTCCACACTGGTAACCATATGATATCTTAACTGCCACACCTGCTGTTGGTGTTAGACTGTCGTGTAACTTAATATGCTGTGAATGTTTGGATCATAGATTTGTATTGGACAGATCGATCGCTTCCTATGTCTCTTGTCTTGAATCTCTAACAGGAAACAAGATTCATGTACCAACACAATGTATGCTGGAGACCATGCTGTGTGGCATGTGGTCGCCTAGTTCTGGTTGTAATGGTATAGAGCCCTCACATTTTTCAAACCTGTCCATCTGCTCCTTTGATAGTTTCTATTGCTCTATTTCAGTTGTGCTCATGGGAACTCACTTTCAGTCAACTAATGCTTAACATGGAGGGATGTATGTCTGAGTTTACAATGCAAATGAACTGGTTAAACATTGTGTTCCTTAACAGATACAAGCATGGCAGAAAGAACTAATTACAAGGAATGCTTCCACAGAAACTGTTGGTATGGACTTAGTGTTTCCCATAGATTATGATGCTATTTCCCCATTTCCAGAACATCTTCCAGAAGGACCACACAGAAAGGCACAGCACACACCATCTACTGATAAATGTAAAGGCTAACTGATAAACTAATGGAACACTAAATAACAGAGTAGCTTTTATGTGCACTTAGTGTGTAAGAATGCAAAAGCACAAATACCAAAGACAATAACCTATACTTTACACCAAAGCAGAGGTGTGAATTGGCACCTTTAAGGAACCAGTTCAAATATACATTTTTCTTTTTACCAAATAACATCACTTAAACAATAGAATGGGATACACTTTTAAAAGGGTCTATATACAATTGTTTTCTATAAAGAATGGTATCTGCTCTAATTATTATATAAAAAGTAAAAGACAATTGTGAAAGTTATTTCTTAGGCTTATTATGGCAGAGGTTTAATTTACAAAGGTTATAAAATGTGATATATCTGTGTATATACTATATATACACTTTTCAAGATAGGTATATGTCCTGATCCTTTTAATGCAGGTTTGAATTTGAAATTGCATTATATATACATATACTTTATTGTTCTAAATAAAAAATTTTAAGCACTTTAAAAAAAAGAAAGGCAAGTAAAGGAGAACAGTGGGTGGCTCAAGGAAGATAAACACAATCAGATCATCACTCCATTTAACAACTGTTTTAACTCCACTCTGTGGAGGGAGTGCATTCGCCCACTGGCAAGATGACAGACCACGGATGGTCCCCTGAATTTACCTAAGCTATCCTAATTGCAGGTTTGGACTAAACAGAACAGCTTATTTCCATCTGCCAGGAGCGCTCCTTCCAGGTGCTGCAGCCTAATGAAGCCTGCAGGAGCAGGGAGGGCATCAAGGCCTCCTTCCACGCTCTCCACAGCACACTGTGTACTTACGGCACGGCATTTGTACACTGGGGATCAAAACACCCATCTGAAAGTTCAACTTAGTAGCTCTGGAGGTTTGGATGGTATTCGGCACTTATGGGGCAGTTGCTAAATGCTAACCAAACAGAAGGATCAATAAACAGTATTTCAAGGTTTCAGCAAGGACTCTCAAGCCAAAATTCTCCACTCACTCAGTTCCCCCATAGCTGGAACACAACTGCTGGCAGCCCCCACCTTTAAGACCCTACTGCTATAACCAGAAGACCATTTAAAATTTTTTAAATTTCTCATGAAGAGCTAAAACATTAGGTCACTAAAATCCACTCGCCAATGGGAAGTTCTGAGGAAATTAGAGGAACGTGTTCGTCACCCTGTGACCAGCAAGGCCCCTAAAATCAAAGAGGTTAATCGTAAGTGACCAATATAGGAATTCCCCATATTGCAATAGCAAATTTACTGCAAGTCTAAAATTATCTCAAAATAAGAAAATGTTCCTATCACTGACAACAGGCAGAATCCCAGGCCACATATGAAAAGAGAAAACTAAGGGAAGCCAACCGTAGTGAGGAACACAGAAGAGCAGAGGCCTGAGGAGAAAGAACAAACCATAGCTTCCAGCTCCTAACCTTGTCAGGGACCAGTCACACTTTACAATACTGCCTGCTGTTAGGAAAATCCTGGGCCTCCCCAAAGGTCCCTGCCCTGCAAAGAAAGGTAAATCATTCTCCAGTCAAAGTGATGTTTCCAATCCAGACCTTAACATTCCTGGCAGAGAAAACATACCAAAAATAAATCTTTTTAAAATGTATTTATACCTACAAACACAAAAGCCTTTTAAGAGTATATGATACGATGTGATACAATACCTAGGGGTGCTTTATACCACAGTACAACATTGGAAAGAGCTTCCGGGAACTTGAAGCAATGACAGAGCGCCCTGGGTGCAGTCTACCTGTGTACCAGCCTTCTGTCGGCCACCGTTACTCTTGCCCCAACCACTATTCACTTGTTTTTCAGCTGAGAAAGACAACAGAGGTAAATTTCACACTTCACACAAGAATGGACTTTCAGATGCTGCCCTGGGTCTCCAAGGCCACAAGCCACATCTGCTAATGTATTTTGTACCATCCCTGGCTCAGTGCCCCATGAAGGTAAAGAGTTTAATAAATGCTTCCAGTGACAGCAACAGCTAACGAGCAAGCTTTCTTCCCACCTCAGCTACTGTCCTCAGGTGATATTTATCAAGCACTCATTTGTATAAGGTTAGCCCTATGCTAATACTGCTTGCATTCTTCCCAAATAATGCTAAACACATACCTCAGCGAACACTTCCAAACTCCAGAGATCTAAGGACTGTCTGCATTTGTCTGGGGCGGGGGTGGGAGGGGCAGATGTTTCAGAAGGACTCTTTCTTCAAAGTCATGTATAATTTCTAGGGACAGCTCATAGGCCAGCTCATGGGGGAGGGTCTAAAGGAGGTCTACAATAGGGGCTATAAGAGCAGACTGACAACCCAAAGAGTCAGCCGTTACTTTGTTATAGGACTCTGTGGGCTCTGATTCCAAATTACTTATTTGGGATTAGCCTATGATTGTAAGCCTTTCAAGAGTACACTCTTGAAAGAGTAACTTGGAGAGCCTCTCTATAAAGTATACAGCCAAAGGTTCTGGATCAATGGTGTGCTGCTGATGACCTAGAGAGCACCGACAAGGCAGCATGTTCTCTCCCATCCCCCAGGCTCCAGCCTGGGCCCACAGCAACAGCAACAGCAACCGGCCTTCAGTCCCTATGCTGTTGGGGAACCTCTAGATTGCCAGATCCTGCCAAAAGGCTAGGGACTCCAAAGCCATTGAGACACAACCCTGGCCAATGGTCAGACCTCTGTACACTTCTCAGCATTAGACTGTGCATGAAGGTAAGGCCCCCAGAGTTACTGCCCCTGTTTTGTCTCTCCTACACATTTCTAAGGGTTTGTTTTTCATTTGTAAGTGCTATATCTCTCAGATATTCTATGAGTAAATTAAAACCGAGTTATCAGAAGCACAGGGTCATGTAAAATCAAGAAATACTGTTTGTTACACAGCTGTTACTTCCCTCCCTAGTTCCATCTCTGTCTCTCCCTGGCCTTCTGTGCACTTGCCTAGGTGAGGGTTTCCTGGCTGCTTCCTATGCCACTCCTCCAGCCTTTGCCTCAAACCAGTCCTTTTAGGTTTTATTTCTAGATTCTGTCTTCCTTTGAATCTTTCAGACTCAAAATACCTCAGGAAAAAACTCTGAGTTCAACTACTCCTGTGTTCAAGCTCTGCAACAGTTATCTTCTACTTAAATAATATATAACATGGTCTCTCTGATGAATTCTAGCCTGCACCTTGCTTTTCAGTTCCAGATGCCCTCTAGCTCTGTGAAGAGGCAAGACTGGCTCTCAGAGTGTCCTCAGACTCACAAGAGAGGAGCAATGGAGCTTTTCAATGGGCCATTAGAACCTTCAGAATAAATATCAGGACTGGTGTGTAGCTCAATGGTACAACATCTGCCTAGCAGTCACCAAATCCTTGCTGTCCCTTGTAACTCCAAAATGAATAGGTTAGTTAATAGTCATAGATGCCCTTTTGTTTATTTACTACCCCAGGCTTATTTAAAAGCTGGACACAGTACCACATACCTATAGCTCAGACACTTGAGAGGCTGCTTGAAATCAGGATCCAAGGCCAGCCTAATAATTATCAAATACTAATAAATGTATATTGAATAGAAGAAGGTAATAAAGCTAACTGGAGTTTAAAATATTAACTGGGGTATTATGACTTTTTAAAGTTGTCTTCTAAAATAGCTAGTCTCTTTCTCACAGTATGTCTTCCCTTAGAAACTCAGTGTAGCTATCCCAGCATAGAGGAAGAACTGTAGGCACTGCACGCCACCCTAGGTTGGAGACCTCAGCTACAATCAGCCAGCTCTTGCTCAACACTGTAGAAGTCTCAATTTTACCTTAAATGCTAATTAAAATGTCACAACAGATTTCCTCTTTGGAAAGATGAGATGTGCCTTCTGTCCTAGGAAGCAAAGTTGGTTTGTAAATAAAATTAAAAAGTGATCGCCACAGTTTTAAATCTCTTCCCAACTGATTTCACTGTTTTTATCTCTGCAATTCAGCACTCTTACAGGGATGTCTTTTTTATTTGATGAAAATACTTCCCTGACAAAGGTCATAGAAAATTCACTGGAGCCTTGTAGTCCTGGTAAATATTGTATTAACTATCCTTCCCAAACCACACCACCCTTCCCTATCTACTCACTGCCCAGGTCAATTCCCTCCCTCTACTTCCCAAAGCCCCATTTGAATTCTACCTCCAGATGCAGGTAGTGCCTGCCCTTAGTTCAAGAACATGATTTATTAATGTGTATGTGCTAGACTTTGAAATCTGATCTTTAGCTTTTGGAAGAGACCATATGGCAAAACACCCTTAAAGAAAAGCCGCTGACCAAGTCTTGGCAGACTATCATTCTCCTGGGGGTAGTATCATCTGTCCCACTTTGTCAAAAGAGC